TCAAGTGTGGTAAAGTCAAATGTCATAAAGTCAAGTGTTCGTAAAGTCAAGTGTACTTGACTCCATGTATTCTCTATGTATTTTCTCTGCGAGGCTCCGCACGGAAGAACCCTTCGCGATGCTTTCGGGAAAAAACCCTAAACCTGAAATCCACTCAGCACCTAAGCCAACACCCACTCAGCCACTAAGAATGCCAAAAGGCAGCAAGGAGACTTTGAGCAGCCTCTGAGGGAGGAAAGCGTAGCAGTTCAAAACGGCCAGGCCAGCGATCAATAACCAGGATCCTTCCGGAGGTTTAATATAGGCCGTAATAATTAGAATAGGGTCTTGGGCTATAATATACTCTAGTTATACTAAGGAACCCCCAAAATACTGGGTAGTTCTAATGGCCCTAAACTAGGGCTTTTTTTGCCTCCCACCCAGCTAGGACGAGCCCGCATTGCGGGGTTGAGTCGGGTTTAGGGCTGTGGGGATCAGGGGTTATAGGGTTCAGGGATTTAGATATCAACTTGTATTCGTTTAGGATTTGGGTTTCGGGCTTAGGATTTAAGGTTTGGGGGTTAGATCTTAAGATGCTTTTGTCTTCTTGATCCTGCTTACGTCAAGCGAATCCAGCAGGAAAGGGTTCAGGTTCAGGGTGCGTCCATCTCGTCTTAATCATGGGAGTCCGCCTGCTGCGAAGCTCAGCCGCGCACCCTAGCGGCTTAAGTCCCAATCCCGAAAAGCCATACAACCCTGAGGCCCTTGCAAGACCCTCATTGAAACTGAATACTTGAGCACCCCCTACCCCGGATTTTCTGATAGCCCCCTGAAGCCAAGAGGGTCCATATACACTACCAGTATGAAAGTAGGTCCTAAAAGACCATCCCTATTATGGTTTTGGAGACCTACTTCTGTAATAGTAGGAACATCTATATCTATATTTAGATGTATATATCATATTGTATAACGTATATACCTATATGTCTAATAGTATATACATATATGTATATATACATATATACACACACACACACACACACATATATATATATATATATATATACATGGACCCTTTTGGAAATGACGACTCCGGACGCTGACCGGCCTTGCAGGGTGAAGTAAGTCGGGTTTCGCCTTGGCTGGAGTTTAGGGCTTAAGGTTTTGGGATTTAGGGTTTAGGGTTTTGGGATTTAGCGTTTAGGGTTTAGGGCTTTGGGGTTTTAGGGTTTAGGGATTTATGGTGTTGGGGTTTGGGGTTTAGGGTTTGGAGTTTAGGGTTTTGGGCTTTAGGTTTTAGGGTTTGGAGTTTTGGGATTTAAGGTTTAGGGTTTTTGGATTTAGGGTTTAGGGTTTGGAGTTTAGGGTTTAGGGTTTGGAGTTTAGGGTTTGGGGCTTCGGGGTTTCGACTCTCACTCTCGCACGCATCAGGCAAGGATCCTGTTTTAGGGTTTAGGGTTTTGGGGTTTCGACTCTCACTCTCGCACGCAGCAGGCAAGGATCCTGTTTTGGGGTTTAGGGTTTTAGGGTTTTGGGTTTAGGAACCGGCCCGGTAGAGGCTGAGGCTCTGCACGGATTTGGGGTTCAATAAGGGTTTTAGACTCGACTTTAGGGTTCGATAAGGGCTTAGGGTCCACTTCAGGGTTCAATATGGCACACTCGCAACTGCAGGCATGGCAATCAGTGTCCGGTCAATATGGGTTGAGGGTCGACGGGTTCGGAGTTGGATTTGAGAGTTCGAGTTGTAGGGCTTTCGTGGGGTTTAGGACTTGCCTTTGTTGGGCCCTGCCTCCCTAAACCCTAAACCCTAAACCCTAGACCGTGAGGACCCACTTGGCAGGTACCGAGTCAGGTCAGGCTTTTGGATGCTTTTTTGGGGCGCGTCGGATTCAAGCTAATGTAGGGGCCTTCATAAATTAGAATAGGGTTTTGGGGTATTGAATACTATAGTTATAATAATGAACCCTCAAAATAGATAATTATTTAGCCCCCTAGATTATGCACAGCCTATGCTTCGGCGAAACTTTAGGATGATTACAGATTCCAGCGTCGGAAAAACAGCAGTGACCGGACTGAACAAAGTTTACTTTGGGTCATGCAAGCCGATTAAGGCCTGTGAGCAACTTTAAATGTCCGAGCGTCATGGACAGCGTGGTCATGTTCGCGGCTACGATGATGCCGGCTACAGCCGCATACACGGACAGCAGGCAGTGTGCTAGATAGAGGCGCACCTGTCGCGATGCACAGGCGGATGCAACCATGAGTCCGTGTGTGTATGTGTGTGTACATGTACATATACATACATATGCATGCATGTATGTATACACACACACACACGCATATATATATATATATATAAATTATACACATGATTGTATATACACACGTAGATCATGTCTGTGTAAACACACAGATATGGATAACGCTTAGGAACACACGCCTGCAGAGGGCGCGGGCGTTGGCGCAGATCGACGTAACGACAAAAACAGCCGAGACTATAGAGGTAGTGCTGCTTTAAAATATGCTTGGAGTTTGGAGTTTATATAGGGCTTAGGGAACCTCAGCTTGGCAGGCTGAGGAGGCATTCGATCCTACCAGTAACGTCAGCCGATCATGGAACACACTTGAAGGTCTTACTCATTAACTGCTCTTCCTATTTAGGCCCACCTAAACCAGTTAAGAAACGCAGACCCAACGACAACGAGCACATAACCCCTCAACCTTCTCTAAATCCATTGCTTCGTTCGTTACTTGTTGTATTAACTAATACATTGTCTCATCAATTAAGCAAGCCCCTCTAAGCCCCGCCGCCACCAGCCTTGCAGTACTGCTGCTGTACTACTAGTGTACTAGTCACTGGTCCACCATCCCACTATCGTACTACTGTACTACCGCACTCTTTACTACTGCACCCGTGTACTTACCACGGGTACCGTATTGCTCTGATAAGACGGGGAGATGGGGGCAGAAGGGATCATGTCAGCCAGGCCAGCGGAAATGGTCGGGGTCCTTGAAAACAGTGCAACTTTTGCGCCCCCTTTAGATTTTAGATTACCCAAGAGAAGCATCATCAGCATAATTGGAGCCTGAGGGTGCGGTGATCATCGAAGTATACCAAGAAGAAAACTGTGCGCAAGATCTGACAACACGAACCTTCTGGTATGGTATCGGGGTACGAGCGGATACCACAAACCCTGCCAGGAGCGAACTCCTGCCTGCAGCAGTTCGCTCCTCAAGCGTTCCTGCTCGGCACTTTTCGCCTCCGGCTCCCGTCGTGCCTAGCGCATTCTGCAAACATCGGGGCTGGAATTGCTGGAAGCTGAGGGGATCCACTGGTTCAACTAAATAATACATGCAGTGATTTATGAGTCATTTACATAGTTGGCGTGCTCGAGCGGTACGCTTTAGGCTCGAAGCCGCTGAAGGCCCGACCCGCCCAAACCATCCATACAAAAAGGGGAGAAATCTATCAGAGAGCCTGAAAGGTTTAGGGTTTAGGGACAAGCACGCCGTTTAAGGTTAAGGGCCTGGTCGGCAACTCTGGTAACGTTGAAGAGGACAAGGCTTCATTCTTCTACTCCAAAATGACCTGTTCTCTCACCCTGTAACCCTAAACCCACGGTTCGGGTTACGCAGGCCGTGCTGTGCTGGCGGGTTTAAAGCTTCAGCGGGGAGAGAAACCTAGATTTTGGCCTGGACCATCTGCCTTGAGTTTTGTACTCGAGATTTCTAAAGAGACCGTTCATTCTGAATACTCCCTAGACACTCAACTGCAGTTCCGTTTGTCGGTTACCTATCTCCCGAAATAGCCATCAAAGGATCGAAGACAGGATCCTCACTAGCAAATCGGAGGTTGCAATGCAGGTGACCCCATCAACATCCCCCTAAACCCTAAACCCTAGACCCTAAACCCATAAACCCTTGAAAGCTGGAGCATCGTTCTCCCCATGCTCAGGTAACAACAGGGAACCCGGCACTTCGCGTCGTCCTTCCTTCTTCCCAGCTTCTAGGATCACCAAAATGCCGAAATCCGGACCACATGCAACAGCCCCAAACCGAACCCCCGAACATGAACCTCGACCCCCTAAACCTTAACCCTTATTATAGGGGCCTTAATAGTTACAATAGGGTTTGGGGCCCATTATACTATAATCATAACAAGGAACCTCCAACATAGTATTGGTAAGTATTTAGGCCCCTACAGCAACCTCATGAACCTAGAAACCCAAACCAAGTGCGGCCCATGACGCCTTCCCCACCCGGAAAAGCTGCAGCGTCCGCTTCAGAAACTTTCGCATGCCGCGACCGAGGGACGAGAAGTGAAACCTATTGGTCGTCAGGTTTTGGGTTTCCGCTTAGGATGTGCATGGAGCTTAGGATACGCGGGTATGTGGCTACCAGTACATCAATTTAGGCTTTGCGTTTAGCAGGTCTTTCGGTATTAGGGCTTTTCGAAGGTGCTTATAGGGCTTAGGGTATTGGGGTAGGCCTTCGGGCATATCAGGACACGGGGTCCCTGCTGCTCTTAGTTAAAGGAACCTACAGGTGGGGAGTTTAGGGAATATAGTTCTTCTATAAGGCTTCCATAAAGTATATAGACCTTCAAAAAATGTCCTAGACTTAGCCGTGGGAAATGAGCTTGCAAGTACGGTTCACGGTTTCTGGCTATGAAGCTGCTGGCCACTGCCACTTAGGGGCTGAGCACCCTAGCCCAAAAAAGGTTAACCTTTTCAATTATGGTAGGATTGTATAAAACCCCAAAAGGTTAAAGGTTACCTACTCAGCCAGTAAGGCCAGAGGATTCTGCTCACCAATTCTACCCCCGGTGGTTGTGAGTCGCCGCCATCGGGGGGCTTCTGATCCCAAAGGGTCCGAGGTACTGTTGTGGGGGATACTTTCCCAAATCATAATAACAACTCCTGATATCGAAACCCTACATTCTACCATACCTTAACCCAAAACCCACTTTTTTTTGTAGGTTCTGATTATATGGAAACCCTACATTCTACTATATAGGTACTTTGGACTCTGGACCCTTGGGGGATGACGTGTCAGGGCAGCTTCTGGGAGCTCGAGGCGGGAAGGACACGACGAGGGCCATAAGCGGGAGACGTGAATCAAGCGAAGCCTATAGGCAGGCACGATCCCAAAGGGTCCAAGTACCATTATAGTAGGTACTTACTAGGTATTTGGGCCCCCAAAATATATACTATACTAGTACTTGGACCCTTTGGGGATACGATCGGTACAAGAACAATAGCAAAGATTCCTTGAGGCGCGGATGCTCCTCAGCCAGCTTGGTAGGTGACATCGTTCAACATCGTTGACTCAGACAGCCCTGAGGTTCCAAAACCACACTGCCGTTGGGAAATAGCTGCTACTTGGAGGTTCATGGGTACTTATAAGTATGGTTATAAGTCCCCTAATATGGGTTTTAATTATAGTTACCCTACTTATAACCCCATTTATAACTACCCATGAACCTCCAAGTAGGGAAATCTACCCTAAACAAAAGCTCTCCCAACTGCCCAGGAAGGTGTTTTTCTGCTACCTTAAGAACCCAAAACCCTACTTTTCTGTAGGGTCCCTATAAATCCCATATTAGGGCTCATAATAAGAACCTACAGAAAAAGTGGGTTTCGGGTTTTTCTGCTAGGTGTGGCTTGACTTTGTGGTGCGCTTGGCATGGCTTCGGCTTCCTCGGCTGGGCTCGACGCCTGCTTCTTTTGTTTGTTTACCAGAGGGTCCACATATACTACCATTATGGAATTAGGTCCCCAAAACCATATTAGGGATGGTCTTTTGGGACCTNNAGTGTATATGGACCCTCTGGGTTAGGCATGCTTAGGGGCAAACCCCCAATCCCCAAACTCCTAAACCCTGCCAACGCAGCCCAGCCGCAAGACTTTGCCTCAGTAATCCAGGAATCAACGGCTTTCGGACTTCGGGGAGTGTTGGACAAGCTCCGGCATTGCCAAATAGACTTAGAGTTTTATCAGGTTTAGCTGTCAGGGCCGTGATGATTAGAACAAGGTTTTCATGGGTCTAACTCCATGCTACAGGCTTGAATATCGGTGCCTTGACAAGTAGAATATGGTCCAACAATAGGGTGTTTTCTGTTAACCGGACCGGGGCATTGGCAATTTGAATAGGGTTTAGGGTTCTTTCTATACTCCAGATAGTTCAACTGGGTTCCACCAGGTTCATACACTAGGTGGGGGTCTTGATGACTATTTTAGGATTCTTTGCGGGGGGGGGGGGTATGCTGCAGTACACTTCATGTCAATATATTCGCTACACAGGAGCCCAAAAGAAGACTGCTGGAGCTCAGACGATTTCTTCAGCCCTGAAATATCCTGAAATCTAATTCTACCAAAAACTTAAAAAGGGAAACCAAGAAGACCGCTGTAAAGGCCCTTTCCAGGCTTGCGGCAGATGATCCTCAGCAGCATCAGGCAACTGAGGCTAAATCCGGCGATCATCGCTGCTGCCTCTTCGCTCTCCATGGCGCACTGTAGTCTAAGGGCTTGGCCCTTCAAAGGCACCGCCAAGATCTCTAGTGAGGTCTGATGGTTGGCCTTATATTTCTCTTTTTTGGGGGCTGTAATACTATAGGGGTTGGAAGTGGTTTTAGGCTTCTGCAACATAAGTGGTGTCCGGACTGGGTGCACTTGGCATCGATTGCCATTTCTGCAGACATTTAGTTAGAATCCTATTACACGCCAAGAAGGTTAAAGGTTACCTACTGAGGNNNAACCCTAAACCCTAAACCTGCGAGGTGGAGCCCTCCGGAGGGCCCTTTCCGCCCTTTCCGCCCACCCTACGACAGCTCCGGGAGGCCGCGCGGCAAACGAGCTTGACACAGGCGGTTTGGGTTTAGGGTTTAGGGTTTAGGATTTAGCGTTTAGGCTTCAACATCAGCAGCGCATGAACTTGAACATGTGATTGAAGCATACGTGCCAACACCGGGTCTAATAAGGGAATCAGAACAGATCTTCCATGCCTGCAAAACTGCAACTGCATAGCGACAGTAGCAATAACTACCCATGAACCTGCAAGTAGTGCTTCGGGAATCACGAGTTAGAGACTCGGGGCGTGCTGAGCGTAAATGTGGTCGCTGAGATTCCGAACCGGGAAGTTCAGCCTTTTCACGACTCCCTCTCTCTCTCTCTTCTCTTCTCCGGGGTCCAGGGAGCTTGTCAGGCCCCCCACGCCGCATGGCGTGCCCCTGTTGTTGTGCCTTGTGGAGGGGCTTTCAAATAGACATCTCTCTCTGTCTTATATATATATGTATATCAACAAATAAGTAAAGAAATACATATACACATATGATATATATATATATATATTCACATGAATGTCACGTGTATACACACCCAAAAAGCTCAAGATGCTCAGCTACAGAGAAAGCAGCAAGTGCTGCGAATGATGGTGGCGTCGCGCCCCGAGAATCCGAATGATACTATGACTCTATGACGGTTCTTGCTCGTGCATGTACTAAGGTCCCCCTGCACATGTTCAGCAAAATAAACTCTCGGCTAGGACAGACTATACATGACTTTGCAGTAGAGCTGCAGACCTCAAGGTGCCGACACGCCACAAATACAGTGCATACCACGTGCCCCAAACAACAACAAGAACCCGAGTAAACGGCAGGGTGCAGAACTAGCTCTCAACCCGAGAACCTACAGCCACAATGAACAGGAAATCCAAAACTCTGGAGCCACGAACCCAAAAACTCTGACTGAGATCCGGCACTGATGCTTGGGCCCACGGATCCAGGTTTGGAGAAAGCGTAGTCGGCCGGTGGACATGTGATCTCCAATGCCTCGGTGCAGCGAACATTGGGTGAATACGAAAGATGAGAGGCTGAGCGGCTGAACAGTCGTGGCATCGTACTGTAGAGCTACAGCTTTTACACGAGCACTCGTACTAACACTACTGCACATATTACCGACGCCGCCACCACCACAACCACGACGACGACCAACCCACCACCACCAACAACGACGACGACGACAGCGAGAGCGAGAGCGACAGCGACACCATCAGCAACAACAACAACAACAACAACACCAACAACAACACCAACACCACCACCAACAACAACAACACCAACACCACCACCACCACCACCACCACCACCACCACCAACAACAACAACAACAAGACCAACAACACCAACAACACCAACAACACCAACAACACCAACAACACCACCACCACCACCACCACCACCACCACCACCACCACCACCAACAACACCAACAACAACA